TGTACCTGCGTCTTACATTGTATTGCAAAGCATATCATAACTGCAGATCAGCTAGTTCCATTTACATTTCCATAACAGAAGTTCTTAGACCTTAGTTCTTTTCTTTTCACTCAGACGCTGAGACCGAGAGGGTGGAATGGTAGTGGCAGCTTTAACGACTTTAATCAAGTGCACTAGAATCCTGCACTCCTCTGTGACTTGAGCGGTAGTGTGTGTGTGCATGTGCCCATATCTAAAAGCCACCCTAAGACCTCCTCATTATGGAGATGAAGGAGAGGTAATTTCTATCTACTCCCCTGTCGCTGCCAGCCAAGCGTTGACCCACCTTTCAGAATAATGAGAGTGACAGGGAGACAAGCTGGCAGCAGCTCACCTGCTCTGCTGGAGTTCACAGCGGCCTGCATAATGAGCACAGTGTCTAGAGCTGACACCTCCAGCCCCTGTCAGAAGAGCCAGAAGTGCCTTGCTAAAAATATGACTGATCATCCATGATCAACTCTTGATATCTGCTGAGATGACTTGTGTAGATAACTGGTCAGTAGCTAAAGCAGTGCCCTTCTTCTTTATCAGGTATTTGCCAAATAATTTGATGATTGGTGTAGAAGTTGGAACGTAGGTCAGACGAATAATGAAAATTAAAGGATCGGGCTCTGGAGCCGCAAGCAGCTCCACAGCAGAATTTGATTTTTAGGTAAAAATAAAAGAATCCCCTTTTGCAGTAAAATAGCTTTGCTGAACTAACATAATTTTCACAACAAATGGTCTTAAACGCTGGAGTTAATGTATAACCGCTAATTCACCGACCTTTAACCCTGAAGATCGGCGTGCAGACTGCCGATCACTGCAGCAACACAGACAACAGTCTCCCCTTGCTAGTAGCTAACAAAAAGGTAAAGAGAAGAATTTATAGCAAACATCGATGCTTTGATGACAAATGGACTTTTATAAGCACTCCAGCTGATTTCCTTATATATTTAATTTGCAATGAGAAACTGTCATGAGGCTGAAGTCAGCTTGTCATTCACCAGCTTCTTGTTTAAATTTCCCCGTTCCGAAGTAAATGGTACAACAGTTACGTTCTGGCACCTCAGGAACCATTTAAGGTGGAACGGAAAAATTCAAACAAGAAGCTGGTGAATGACAAGCTGACTTAAGTCTCGTAAAAAGTCGAACGTTGAGAGACATTTTACAAGAAGATATTCTACTTTTGAGGAAAAGTATCCTGACAGAGATGCGAGAGAAGTGGTTATAGGTGAGCTAAAGCTTAAAGCAGAGCAAGGTCTACATTTTCCTTGATATTTTTTAAACCTTTTGTTTTAAAGTGTCAAAAAATGAAAATCAACAGATTACAGTGTTCTCTTTAAGTGGCCTATTTCAAGGAAATAGACACATTTTTCTGAAGGAACAGCATGATGTGTTGACATCACTCCTGGAGATTTGAAAAATTTCAAAAATGTTCCATTCACTCCCGTCTGTACAGTTCCTGTATGGAAACCTAGCTGCAAAAACAGCTTGTTTTATGGCTTTCAGCCTTCAGCTTTTTGTCTTGTGTATTCACACACTGGAGCAGTGCAGTATGTGAAACATTGAAAAATTATTGTATTCAGAATTTTTTACAGTATTTTAGTGTGGCACTACTGGGGCTTGTTGTCAGTTGTAACTTATCAAACCTAAGAATGAAATATGCATAGCAAGTATCATGAAAATGTCTTAAAGTATCATGATTTATTTTTGTGGCTGGATTTTATTTTTGACTTCTAAAGGGGTCACAAGTAGGCTTAATCTGTTGCTGCGACAATGGCTTTTATTATTCGTGTGCACAGTTTTTGTCTTTCTGCTAACGAGTGTGCAGCATTTTGTAGCTCCCATTAATGTGCAGCGACATAGCTAATACTATTTGTTCAGATTTTTTGGCTGTACTTTTTGCAGGCCTAATTGCTCTAACTGAAGAAATGCGCTGTCAGAGTGCTGTGATTGCAAGTCACTGGCGTCTTTAGATTCATTGTAATTGCCCTTACAAAAGGGATTGTGTGAGAAGGAATCAGGCCTTGCATTGAATGTCTTCAGGGTGATCGTTTAGACACATTTATACTTATTAGGCTCTCATTAAAAGCCTCTGTTCAGGAAGTCATTTGTCTCACAGCCAGTCTAAAGCCTTAATTCAGTCACGTTTCCTTATTTCTTCCAAAACGGTTAGAAAAAAAAACAGGACGCTCTCAAGGTCTTGCTTCTTTATGAATTGCAACTTGATGGGAGGGAAGCTTTAAAGAGATGGGAATGAAAAAAACACCACTGTAATTAGCAGCGAAAGAAAATCTAAAATATATACAAAGTTCTGCTAAGAGAACTGCATTCTGTTGGTGAGACTCAAGTTTGGATTCCAACAATGGCACAGTCATCTGTGACCCAGAGTCTAAGAGAGAAACTACTGGCCTTGCTCTCTGAGTAGCCGGTGAAATAGCAACGACATATATTGGGAAAATTGGAGAATAAAGGTTCACAATTCTCTTTTGAGAATGACAGTACAGTTAATTCTTTTTTTTTGACATGCAGCGGTAAAACTTGACAATTTTGACAAATAAGAGCAGTTGTTAATTCACTTTGCAGCAGAAATGTGTATACATATACATATATTTTTCTATTATAAGGTTGAACAGTTACATGGAGAAAACATATATATACTTTGTAGCCGTGCTAATAAAGTTACAATTAATTTAAAGTCTGATGATGTTTTGGCATAAATCTGCGCTGTTAAGAACATCACTGTTAAAGCCTCGGGGAACCTAAATTCATGGTTAGTTTCTAATTAGGTTACTAATTAGGTTAATGTTGGTCCTGTGGGTAGACATTGTGCATGTAGGCCCTATAAATAACCTCTTAGTGTCTACATGTTATTAGCTAGAATTTCTGTCATTTCAGTGTAAATTGGGCAGTCTTAATCTTCAGTCAGTCTTTACCACATCACAGGGCGGATGTCGCTCGTCCCTCCTCACTCTCTTCAAGTCTGAGCAACCTAGTAAAGAAAAGCAAACTAGTGAGCGTAAGATAACCTAGCATGCGTAGCCTTGGTGAGAGTTCGGACACTACCTGTGAATAGGGATTATCTGGGGTACAAACCTTTGTTTGATTCTCCATATCGGGGATGCTTGATTTGGCCCACATTTCTTTGTCTTCTTGGCCCTCAGCTCACCACAAACTTTGTGTTTGGTCCCCCTCGATGTAAAGATTCGATACAGTTGCTCTAAATCATCTGTGGGTTTGTATTTGTCGAGTTCTCTGCTTGCACCATTATGTTGAGTTCTGCATTGTCTAGAATTGTGCTTGAGTGGCATAGCAGGTGAATCTGGGCCAGAGAGATGTCGATCAGTGGTGCTTATTATGAGATTAGGCCATGCCGAGACAGTTCTCAGATATGGTCTGATCAACAAATTTAGCGGCTTTGTGTTGTTTTATCATGTTTTATATTTTTTTTATCCATTCAGACTTTGGTGGATGTTTAATACAACACAAGTTTGTTATCATACAAGAATGTAACATTTTACACTATATTAACTTGGACTGTAAACAATACTGACAAAGGTAACAATTTGCACAAAGGATGGTTTCTTTCATTGTAAAGGCCAGTTCTTCACTTGCACTCTATGCTGGGACTCGTGGGTAATCATGTTTTCCTCAACATGTTCTCTAATACAGGGGTGCCCAACTCTGATCCTCCCACCCTGCAAAGTTTAGTTCCAGCCCTACTCTAACACATCTGATCATGCTTTAGGTGATCCACCTAATCAAAGTAGGGTTATCACTGTCAGTCATATTAGTAATCTATCGATTATTTTGATCTACTGAGTAATGAATAAATCAAAATAACAATTTATCATTTTGAGTATTGAATGCACATAAGGTTAATGCATCTTAGGCCACCTCTATTAAACATAAACGCATTCAAGTGGCATATTCTTAACTTTGCATGTTGCAGTTTTATCTTTTGGAAGAGGCTATATCTGAATATTATTGGAGTAGTCTGTTAGCCTGTCAGCTGTCTGCCTAGCTATTCAGTTTAGAACTAGTTAAACAAAAACCTTTTGCTTCATAGACACTTTTACTTCTTCTACATACTATTTGTGACAGCAAACAATTATTTGTACTTCATATACATGACATTTATAAATCCAAACATACATGTGTAAGATCCTGCTGGTGTGGGTTTCCTCTTTATCAGTGATGCACACAAAAGTGGCTGTCGGAAGAAAACCTTGAATCTCCATTTTTGTTGTTTTTCAGTTTTTGACAGAACACCTGTTGCCCTTTATAATGTGTGTAAATTTCATGAAGAATGCACCAAGAGAAACAACCCAACACGACTTGAAAAAACAGTCTGGTTCCTTTGACTTGCATTAAAAGTAAAGTTGTTTTTTTTTCCTTCTCCTATAAAGTTACCATTTTTGATCATCTTCCGACAACAGTGTTATAATGCTTAGAAAATAATGTTTATACTGGAGATTTTATTTATCATTCAAATCGAAAACTAATCACTAAGCCAATTCATGAAACCTAAATTCGAAGTGACTAATTATTTAGATGCAAAGCAACTCACAGAACCTGATCATTCAGTCACTTAGTCATGTTTAGCAGGTGAAAATTCTTCACAAGGGGATTTCATTAGCAATCAAATAGCATTTATTAGAGCAGCGCTTTGAATCAGTGGTATGTTATTTAGAGGTATGTGTATTATATTAGGGTTGGAACTAAACTTTGAAGGAGGACAGATCTCCAGCAGGACGGTTGGGCAGCCAACAAAATAGAGGAACATGAGGAAAACTAGCCCTATACCTGACAACCTTTTAACCTTTTACCTTCTACCTAATCCTGAGCTCCTTGGAATCCCTTGTTCACCTCTTTCCTTCTCTCCCTTTTTCTCCTCCCTTCTGTCCCTACCTTTTGCCTTCTCCTTCCTTTCCCTTCCATGTGCTCCTTCCCTTTATCCATGGCGGATCCACTGACAGCGACTTTACATCCAAAATGAAAAACAGGCAAATGGGCGTGACGAGTGGCAGCAACATGACCAAAAGCACCAGCATCGGTGGAGAGATATGCAGCCTGGAGAAGACGGACGGCAGCCAGTCGGACACAGCCGTGGGCCTGGTGGGCACAGACAACAAGAAGAGGCGCTCCAGCATTGGGGCCAAGATGGCTGCAGTGGTGGGCATGTCCCGCAAGAGCCGCAGCGCCTCACAGCTCAGCCAGACAGGTAAGAGGACAAACAACGTGTCTGTCTGTTTGTGTGTTTGTGTCTGTCTGGATGTGTTTTCCTCATTTTCCCATCTCTTCGTCTCTTATTTTGCTTTATTCCTCCTCATGTTTTTCTTTCTTTCCCTTCCTCCTTCCCTTTTTATGAACCTTGAGGTGTTCTTGCTGGAACTCTTTCTATCCAACAGGTCTTATTTCCACTGCCTTTTACAGCTGAAGGGATGAAACTAGAGGTGGGCGATATGACGATATGTCATTATTACGATGTCATGCTTTTCGTCAGTACTTAAGATACACTGCTTAAATGCAGGTTTCATTAAAATGGAATTTCTCAAATGGCATAGTTGTTTAAGTGTTTTCCATATTGAGTTTCAATCCCAGAATTTCAATCCACGTGAGCGCAATTTGCCATGTTTAATTGGATGTAGTGACGTGCAATGCATAAATGTAAATACTCATGGATGTCACTTTTTTAAATGTGACTTTGATGCTTTGATGTGTCTTGTGTCTATTTCAACTTCAAACCTCTCAGAAAAGTTTATAATTTTATGTATCACTAAAATGCAGAGTATCAGAATATTATATCATCTGGCAAATATCGTGATACATTATTGCCATATCGCCCATCTCTTACCATTTCACCACAGGACGGAGAAGCAGGAATGCTGTGAATGCTCACTGTTTTCTCTCTTCTAAATAATTTGGATTCTTAATCCTTCCTTCTTCTTTCCTTTCTGTCTTTCTTGTGGACAGCTGCTGATGTGTATCTCTGTTTCCCTGCTGTGTTGTTTCTTTGGAGCTGCTCTTCCTCCTCCGAATCTTTTTCATAGCTGAGTGTCCACTTTATATTCAGAGGCTATCAAATATTGGCGATTCTGTAATGACCATGGTCTGTTCATGTTGCCATAGCTCCTGCTCTGGCCCTTGCTCTATGCATGTTTTATTAATAATGGCAGGTTAGGCGACAGTGGTGGGTGTTACTCTCATACTGCCTTGATGAGTTCATATTCACAGGACTGCAGGTGTTCGCTGTGAAGCATATGGGAAAGCAGCATGCACTGTTCACTCCTGCCTTACAGTCACTTGCATAAGATTGTAGTTATTGCTTGTATATTGTAGTTATCTCAGTAGGGCTACACTGCATATGTTTTTATATGGCCGTCTTATAATTTGCCAATTTTGAGGTTATACAGTTTTTTGTTATTGGTAAAAATGCTGATAACACACTACTATTTATAAGTGACTAGTTATCTGTTCTGATAAACACATTCTAATAAACACACTGCTATCTACTCCATAAGAAGACCACTCATCATCAGTTTTGTTAGTATATTAATGGATTCAGGCACCCTTTAAAGACACTGCACAATGCACATAGGTAGAACAGTTAACTCTACCAAACTAAGTGCCAGTGATCCATTCTGAGAATTTGGCAACGGCCCCTTTAGCTTGTTTAAATTTGTCACCAGATTAGTTACAGTGCGTTAAGGTCCACATTGGCCACAGTGAAGTATATCATGGTGTAGAATCAGAACTTTCTGTTTGCAGTAGTTTTTCTATCACTGTGTAAAAGATGGATAAGGTTTCCTTTACTATTCAAAATTTTGTGCTTTTTGGCTATAGTTATGACTAAATGTCATTCAGTTAATTAATTCGCAGGTCTGGTCAGAGAAAAGAGGCTTTTATTCTTTGGCTAACACAGTATTGCGCAACATGCTGTACACTTATGATGCTGCAGAGAACTGTAAGAACTGTAATGTATTTGCTGGTAGGCCACCTATAATGCATTGTAGGACAGCAGCAGTTGGGCATATTTGGCCCTGACCTGGGATATCTGGTCTCAGGTTCTGCTATGATTTAATCCTAGTAACCTCATCTACCTACCTACCTACTTACCTACACACCAGTTTCAGACAATTTGAGATTCCAGACATTTGTTCAGCAAAGCATGTCAAAGCAAGAAAGTGTAACCCTTAAATGAAACAGGAACATGACTCACTGTTAGATTTTTGAAAGCCAACATGTTCCTCAATTTAAATTAACATTCATACCTAATAATGAGCATTTAGACCACTGCTGAATGTTATATGTCTGTAGTTTTCAACCTGTTAGGGGCAGTTATGTTTTTTTTAATTGTACAGTTTTATTACAATATATAGACATTTAACAAAACAATTTTTAATATGCCAAATATTTCTGTTGTGATAGTTATTTGAAAAAATAAAACGTCATATTTAGGTCAAGCTCATTGATTGGTCTGGCGAAATGCATAACGGACTAGCTTGTTAGCTAGCTAGTTATGTTTATATTTTCAGTGTAATGGAATTCATCCATCATGGATAAATGGCTGTAAACAGAAATTCTTTGGATATTTCTTGGAGTTTATTATGCTGTGTGATGGAACATTATACAACAGTTGTTCCGACCATGCAAGCTGATTGGTTGACAGCACAGGTTTTTCACAAACACTGTATCACTCCGCTGAGATGCTGTTGCTAAGCAACGACTTTGACAGCTGTAGGAGACACTCAAGCCATTTGAACGTTTTTACTTATTACTTAGTACAAACAGAAAATGGATACTTTAAGATCACATTTGACCGACAGCTGATTTGGTCAGACTCTGAAGATGAGACTACACTAAATTCCCTAACTGTCAGTTGGTCTGTGTGGAGCTGGAGAACGAACTGCCGGCTGCCGACTCTGACATAGCAACAAGCTGCTTGTTAAGGAACTATAATTTTAATATGTTTTAATGTTAGCAGTTCCTTCCGCAAATTATAGTTCCTTAACGAGCAGCTTGTTGCTATGTCAGACTAACGAGCTCCGCTCACTCGCTGCACAGCCAGCAGTTCGTTCTCCAGCTCCACACAGACCAACTGACAGTTTGGGAATTTAGTGTAGACTCATGTTCAGAGTCTCACCAAATCGGCTGTAGGTCAAATGTGATCTTAAAAGTATTCATTTTAATTATAAGCATGATACTATTGAATAACAATTTACTAAAAAATTATAGACATGCATTTTTTATTTTCCAGATATCAACATGTTCACGTTCACTAGCAAGCAAACGTTTTAGCCAAGATATGTAGCTGTAGCTATGTGCAGTAATAGGCAGCTAAAGTTGGCCAGATTAATGTTCGTAGTACCATTGAGAGTGAAATAATAAGGAATTTCTAAGATTAAGCTTCATCTATGTTGTACTGAATGATAAGGTATTTTAACTAGTGAATTAATATCTCGCTGGCTAACTTACCTGAATATATTCATCACAATTTCTACGATAAATGATATTATTAGTCCTGGCTTGCCCTTCACTAACCTAAAATATGTAACATGCACATAATGTATTGTCTCTCTTCGCGGCCTTTGTGCTTAGTGTGGAATGGGGCTCAGGGGCCTGACAAATACTGCTGGTGCTGCGATGACAACGTGGGAAAATAAAATCATTTGGGGCTGGCATTAAAATATTGGGGGCCCCGAATACCCACACCTAAGAATGCCCATGGCCAATCATATCTGCAAATCAACTACATTTTCATCAATCTGTGAGTTATCTGCATATTAAAAAATTGTGGTAATTTTTATCAGTTATTAGAATTTTTATCTCAAAATTGCAGCCAGTGACAAAATTTGTTTTTGAGCATGCAGAACCTACGTGATATTACTTTCGGGACAATATTTCACCATTTTTAATTTGTTTATGCAAGTTATTCTGCTGTTTGAATTATTTAGGTAAGTGCATAAATTGTATGAAGATGTAGAAAAGCATGCAGTTATTTTTACAAGATGCCCCAACATCTATAATTCATTGGAAGGGACTTGTAATGGGGAAGTTGGTGAGGGATGCAGAGATTCCTGGGTCATCACAAATGTGCTTTTCACTGTAGCCACAGAGCATAAATGTCAGTTTTTTAGAGAATAAAATAAAAAAAATTAATTTTAAATAAAAAAAAAGTTGAAACTTTTTACTATTGATGGCCTAGAGGAAAAATGGAAGCAATCAGTGTCATAATTTGCTGAATAGCTGAAATTATATTGTGGTTGTGTTTGGATTGATGGAAAAAATATGTTTTTTTTTTCTTTGCAAATAATGACCAATTATGAGAAGTTATTAATCGTACCTACATACAGTGGGTTCTTTTCATCATGCTTGAAAAAAGCACTTCAGTGCATCATCTTCTGACTGTGTATTTAGTCTCATTGAATGTCTCATCAAAAGGAACATTCAATAGCTATTGGCCTGAGAGTAAGAGAGAGAGTCACAGACAGGGAGAGAAAGAGAGCGAGATGTTTATTTGATGCAGCCCCATTGAATGAAATCAGCAGTTCTTCGCAAATTGTGTTGCTCCACTTTGTTTGATTGCATGAAGAAACGTGAAAGCACCCTCATCCGGTTATTAATGTTCAAGTACTTCAGCTGCTCGGCTGCTGTTTTGTGCCTTTTTGCTCTTCCATGCAGTCTTCAGGTGACCCATAATCACCGTCAGTCCACCCGCTCTGGGTCGCAGCATGTATAGAGCCAGTGGTAACGCCCACGTGTTTTAAAAAAAGGGAAAAAAAGCCCGTCAGGCAGCTCGTGATAGCCGATGCACATGGCTGGCTGATCCGACGGAGGGCTTTAATAATTTGTGCTGATCGCCGTGAGCTCTATCACTCTGTCATGTCTGCAAACACAGTCTCCAGAGTCTGGCTGAAGGATCTGAGACAGCCAGGAGGGACTGATGCCGTGTGAGTGGACGTTCTTCTAGATGGAGGACACGCAGACAAGTGCCAAAAGTCTGGGTTTATTATTGGACCGTTATTTGGTTTGGAAGGTTTTTGATTGACGTTGTCTTTGTGGAGTTTGTCATCTGTCATTACTAGTGCTTCAACTATCGAAGCTTTGAATTTGCAGATATTCTATGGAACTGTCTGCTATCTCAAACATTCAGATAATAATTATGGTGGTGAGAAGCCCAAGATGTGAATTCAAATCTTTTATATGGATAATAAAATCTCA